CTCTAGTATGTTCAGAGACAATATGAAAAACGACAAACTATTGTAAGAAGGTTGAAATGGTAAAACAAAAGGAAGCGGTACATGAGAGTGGGAAAAAATAAAATAGAGGGAGAAATGAAAGAGGAAAGGAAAGAAGTAAGAAAGGAAGGAAAACAGTTAAGAAGGAGAAAGAGATTGAATAATTTGAGAGTAAGAATCAGGTAATGATTCAGTATAGTTCATTTTATTTAGCCCTTGTTTCTGTCTTTTAATGTGAATCATTTCAGATACTATAATCTCTTATTATAAGAAGACTCGCAATCTAAAATTCTCACATCATCCCATTTAAAATTGTGGTCTAAATTGATACGATGATCGGTTATGACAGTAGGAGAACCAGTATTCCTTCTAATATCCGATTTATGTTCATGTAATCTCGTACTCAATTTTCTTTTGGTTTGACCAACGTAGCTCGCCTCACAATCATCGCAGGAAATTTTATATACAACGTTTTGGTTGGACAACAATTCCAATTTGTCTTTCCCTCTCTTAATGAAGCTTTTTAATGTGTTAGGAATGGGGTAAAAGCTAGTTTACAATGATGAAACATACTGGAAATCAGAAGAAAACTCTCTGAGATAGATTTGACATAAGGAATAGTAAAATATTTATCTTTCACTTGTAAGTTATGTGTAGTATGTTTATTATGCATATGGAAAAATTTAATCTTTGTTCAATTATAGAAAAGATGAAAGATAAAGGGTAACAGTTATCTAGGAAGATGTGGATAGCTTCTATTAGATTTTTCTGTTGGAACCACGGATGTGATAATAAGATAATTTTATCTATGAAGCTGATAATTGTGCCTTTTTTGTGGCAAAGAGGATGATTGGAATAAAAATTAAGGAACCTTCTAGAGAATGTCTTTTTGTGATAAATGTCGAATATAATTCTATGATTATCTATGATAAGTATTGTGTCTAAAAAACTTAATCTGTCTTCCGAATCAACCTGCAAGGTAAATTGTAATCTCGTATGTAAAGAGTTAAAAGTATTCAAAGTATCATTTATATTGTTAGATGGAAGTGCGAGAATAACATCATCAACATATCTGAAATAAAACAATGGCTGTACTGATAATCTATTGATTGCTATTTTTTCCAGATCTTGCATAACAATGTCGGCGATAATTGGTGATAACGGTGAACCCATTGGAGTACCAAATACTTGTTTGTAAGTTTTATTATTAAAAGCAAAAAAGGTAGACTATCTAAAATAAATTTAACTGCAAAAGTAAATTCATTTTTTGAAATGTTAGTCTTAGTTGAGATGTACTCCCATCTCCTATCAATGCTATTTAAAGCTAGATCAGGAATATTAGTGAAAAGGGCCACCACATCTAACGAAGCTAAAACATATTGAGAATCAAACCTTTTTCCATTCAATTTCTCAACTAAATGGAAACTATCTTTAATATGGCTAGAAGCTTTTGGTACGCTGCCATTAATTATGTTATGTAAAAAAAGAGAAAGATAATATAATGGAATATCAATACAACGAAGTAATGGCTTAATTCGAAAAATCAATAAGATATAACAAAGCATAAAAGCCAATGCTAGTTATTATTGCGAATGTTTTCATCAATTATTTCATCAAAATATATACGTTTCGATCCTCATCAGGTCATCTTCAGTAACATTTAAAAAGAATAAACATTAGTATGATCTCCTTCCTTAATTTTCCAAACTTATCTTAAACGCTAACAAATTCGTAACTATACGTCGCAAAGCTTGAAACGGTGAAACCATGCTTAGGAACTCCTCAGACGTTCGAAGAACTCCATAACATCTTTCTGTATTCCACTCCTCCAAATTTATACATTATACAATTATATTCAAGTCGTCGTCCAATCCAATTGCCAATTTTTCCAAAAATCTCCATATGTTCATAATTATAAAATCAATTCTCTCGTTTGATTAATAGTTGTTGTATAAGAGAATTTTATCAGAGACGATGTACATTAAGAAGCAGACTATTATAGAGAATTTTATCAGAGATGATATACATTAAGAAGCAGACTCATGGTTTAAATAAGCAGAGTGATACGGATTTCCGAACATTTACCTGCCAATGTTAGAGGATATATCCCCTCTTTAAAGATAGGATAAGAAGTGGGTGATTCTTTGTTTGTTGAAATGTATCATATGTTAATGTTAGCTAACAGTTGTGCTGTGAACATCGTGTGTTTCTATATTTTGTTTTCTTACTTTTGACAATTTTGTATAAAAGAATATTTGTGGATAGTTGTGGTCGAAATGTATGGGTATGTAGATATTTATTTTAAAGTCTGGTTTAATTTCTAATTTATTAATTAAATTTGTATTCACTTTTTATTCAGTCGACTTTTTGAAAAATCATTGACATTTATTTTTATAACGAGGCTAATTTATGGTTGACGCTTAATACACATATGGAATAATTTCTGACTAAAAGACTAATGTTTTTCTCATAAGATATGGTTTTAAATTGATGACTACATGATATGATTGACAAAAATTAAGCTTTATTATGATTTTATGGAATTTGTGACTTCCATACAATAATTGACTACAACTATTAATCAAACGAGAGAATTGATTTTATAATTATGAACATATGGAGATTTTTGGAAAAATTGGCAATTGGATTGGACGACGACTTGAATATAATTGTATAATGTATAAATTTGGAGGAGTGGAATACAGAAAGATGTTATGGAGTTCTTCGAACGTCTAAGGAGTTCCTAAGCATGGTTTCACCGTTTCAAGTTTTGCGACGTATAGTTACGAATTTGTTAGCGTTTAATATAAGTTTAGAAAATTAAGGAAGAAGATCATACTAATGTTTATTCTTTTTAAATGTTACTGAAGATGACCTGATGAGGGTCGAAACGTATATATTTTCATGTAATAATTGATGAAAACATTCGCAATAATAACTAGCGTTGGCTTTTATGCTTTGTTATATCTTATTAATATAATGGACTATTGATAGAAGATACAATCACTCTCAATTGGTTTCCGTTCTTATGTCAAACCGTAAGCCCTAGGTATAACTCCATCAGTTGTTAGCAATCTACGATGTTTGATCGTCAATAAACCGATCGCGCTTCCATCTCACAAGCAACGTGCGTAAGTCTTGAGTCAATTTTTTAGTTGGATCTTTAGCAATGGTTTCATAAGTGTTAGAATCTGGAAGAATCTCCATCTTTGATACATAAGTGTCTTTATCAAGGACAACAGTGACATTCCCTTTATCAGCATTTGTAATAAGAATATTTGGATTGTCATTTATAAATTTATTAGTTAAGTGTAGCCAATTCAAAATCTGTTTGTCAATAAAATTAGGAGAAGGAAAAATTTTTTGGAATCTATTAAGAATTGAAATAGAATTGTTTTTAGCAAAGTTAATAATATTCTTGGGACGACCAACAATATTACTCTCAATTTGTTTGATAAATTCGATTAAAGTATTTTCTTTGTTATTTTTATTAATAGGAAGTCCAAATTTCTCACCAAGCTGTAATTATTGCAAAAAATATTACCTCAGCCAGGATTCGAACCTGGGACCTCTCGACTTTCCGGGGCAAGTGTCTTAGCCAACTCGACCACTGAGGCTTCGATAATATTCTTCGCAATAACTATGTATAGCGAGAGAACGTGTAATTTGGCAACGTGTTTTAAAGAATAAGTACGACAGTGTAAATGCTAAGCACATAAATATAAAGAACGCCAATAATCGGTTAAAGTTAGATTCGGCGCATAGTCACATCTGAGATAATTAAATTTAAAAATTAAGAATTTGTATTGTATTTATAACATATATATATATATATATATATCTAACTTTGAACAAAAATTATTTATTATCTATGTATGTCCGTGATTTATTATGTTACCCTTGAATTCTTCAAAATAAGCAATTACAGACTTTTGTAGTTCCATGTTCAAATTGGTCGTCTCAGAATTTCACAATATTTCGTGCTATGACAGAGTTCCTAACCGAGGAACTCTGTCACTAACCATTAGCTGAATTAAATATTGTTCCGCAGATGACATGATTGCATATGATTTTATCTGATTACAAATAATTGTTTTCACTATATATGAAGTAATTTGGTAAAATATACAATTTTATTTAATTAATTCGAATAATATATAATGGTTTTTCGTGATTGCATATGTAATTATCGGATAATACGTAGAGATTTCATATAAATTTTGTAATGATTTCGAGAACTCTGTTCCACGATTACATTAAATGCTTACCCCCTCCTTCCTAACTTGAGTAATCGTCGACTTTAAGGCTCCTGACTACTCAGCCAAGAACTTTGTGTTGACGGTGGCGACACCGAATCAGACGGCGGTCTAGCGAAATCGGTAGCAACATCTTCAAGCACGAGCCCATGTGCCTGCAGCCAGTGATGCACATTTGGTTCCCCGGCAACACAGAATCCAGCCCCACCACTTGTACCCCCACCAAGCAGACACCTACCGGTATCGAGTCGGCCGTTTCGCCGCAAGAGCGAGCGAGACAGAGAGAGGCAGCGCCCCTCCTTCTCGCTCTATCAATAACTCGTAAACACAAGCGAGTATTAGAACGAAAAGGACGGCTGCTCTCTCTCGCTGTCTCGCTTTCTCTACTAGTCGCTTGTTATAAGCGACCGAAAACCGAAAATGTAC